CAAGAAAAGTCCTTGAAAGTTGGATTACATAACAGGTGTGTATCTCTTTAACTGTATAACTAACATTCAAATGCTGTGAGAGGTGGTAGTTTTAGGTTTAAATGACAGATAAATTATAATTAGGATAATTAGGAGTCTATTTATAAAAACAGATAATTGGGGACATTGTTAAATGCATGTAAAGGAGTTCACAGAATGGGTATAGAAATTAATGTGATCTCCTTTACATTTCTACAGTAAATCCAGCTATAGCAAGTTAATATGAATAGTTATTTTGTATTAGACTACTTACACAGATCATTAACGTAAGTTTTTATTATAATGTGGCATTATACTAAGAAGTGCAAAACATATATAACTTTATTATAAGGAGTTGAATTAAAGCGATGATCTCCTTCACCTGTCTTTGCTAATATACAGAGGTGGTATGGATTTCGGTGATGGGTTTCATATTTGTATTTTTATAATGGATGGTAAAAAAAGTCGGCAGCTGAAATATTATCACAGATAAAAGGCAGCAGAAGAGAAAACCGTCTTACAATTTATTTGTATTTTTATTCTATGTACAATGTAATCTGGTAAAGGAGAACACATGTGGAAAACAGCAGTCATCTTCATCAAGGTGTAAAAATATGACAGAATGTAGCCTAAGTGCTAGATTTTTGGCACAAAGTTTTTCAGTAGTTATATTTTCAAGAACTGTATAAATCATACTCATAAGAAAAGATTTATTTTTCAACATTGTCCAGTTGAAATACGTACACTTATGAAAGCCTGGCCCATAAGGTGAAAGTGGAGAGCAAGACTAAGATCTGGGTGGAGATGAGACTTACAAGAACGTCAACATCAGTGAAGAACTTACTGGGAGGTAGAAGACAGAGATACAATATCTACTGTGTCAGTGTGCAGATGTCTTCACAGATAGACCAGGAAAAACAGACCTTGTGCAACACAAGATTGAGACCATGGCCAGGGATCCAGTTATGAAGCCTTATGTGGTGAGACACCTGATAAAGCAGGAATTCGAGGAAATATTAGAGGCTGGAATCACTGAGTCTTCAAATTCAGCCTACTGTTCACCAGTGATAATCACAAAGAAGAGGAATGTCTCAAAATACTTCTGTATAGATTTTCGGAAGCTGAATCTCGTGATGAAATTCGACTCCAAACTATGGGCGACCCAGCGGCTATCATGGAGAAACTACACGGGGTCAAGTTCTTTACCAAGATCAATCTCAGTAAAGATTATTGGCAGATCCCGATGAAGACAGAATCTAAGGAGAAGACAGCCTTTGTGATACCAAATTGATGCTACCAGTTCAAGAGGATGCCATTTGGGTTAGTCATCTCAACAGCAACATTCAACTGCGTGACGAGGAAGATGTTGAATTATGTGGATGACATTCTGACCCACACAGCCAGATGGGAAGACCACCTGAAGAAACTCAGAGAGCTGTTTAGGCAAGTGAGAGCAGCAGGTCTGACCATCAGACCATCTACGTGCTACATTGGCTATTCTATGCTGGACTTTGTTGGCCACAAGGTGGGTAACTGACAGATAGCCATGGAAGTAGAGAAGCTAACCTGCATCAGCTCTGATGATCAAACAGCAATACAGATCATTCCTTGGGTTAGCAGGATACTATAGGAAGTTCATCCCAAACTATGCTGAAGTCATTGCACCACTGAAGTTGAAGAACACGTTAGGATGCTCCCCAATCCATAGAATGCCAGACTTCAACAGACCATTCATTATTCAAGCTGATGCTTCAGACATTGGAATTGGAGCAGTACTTCTGTAAGAACATGAAAAAGGAATGCTTCCAGTAATGCACATCAGTAAAAAACGTTTGAGTAGTGAGAACTACTCTGTGATTAAACAATAGTGTCTGATCATCATATTTGCCATCAAGAAATTCCAGAACTACCTCTATGGGAAGAAATTCATCATTCAGATGGACATCAGTCACTTGCATACATCCAGAGGTGTGAAACGTACAGTGCAAGAACCATTAGGTAGGCATTGTACCTACAGAACTACAGGTTCTGCATTGAAGCCATCAAGAGGACTGCAAATGTTGGTGTAGAATGTATGAGTAGATTTTGTGCATGAACTTAAAACAGTCTTTGTTTATAGTATAAAGATAATATGGTAAATATTTTTTCTTGAAGAGGGGTTTATTATTAGATATACACGACTATTTCAATTTAAGTATAGTGCAAGTGTTAAATCTGCTTATTTTTGGAAGCTATAGTTCATGGCAGGTTTGTTTACATATCTGTTTTCAAATCATATGTTGTAGTTGAATTGTTGTGAATTGGCAATCATTGCGTCATATTAGTAGAACCTTCTAAGTTTTCTCGTGTTTTAATTGAGTTTTATTGCATCATAATATCTTGTAGCTTGTGGAATGTTTTAAGCCTGTGTCAGGCTATAAATATGCCTCCAAAATGTAATTCCGAGACTACCCGATTGTGAGTTTAGCCATAAAGAGCATATAGTGTGATTTTTATAGTGAAATTATCATATATTGTATTGTAATAACAGTGTAGAGAAGAACATTTCATCTTGTCAATTGTGTTCTAAAGTAATCGAACTAGCCTGTGTGGCCTTTAATGCAAAAGGGACAATTATTTAAAGCTCTGTATATAACTGTGATATCCAAAAGTGTAACGAACATTTGTGTATACGTTTGACTTGTTTTAGTATATTATTCTAAAATAAGTAGATTGTGTGCTGTTTGTTTATTGTTGAAATTTATCGCCAGCAAGTCACAAACACCACCTGTAAAAGACTCCTGGCCCATACATAAAAAAACAGACAGCTGTGAAATTAAATATTTTTGTCAGACAAAATTAATTAACGATACGAATCACGTTATTGCTTAGCTGTTGACCAAAAATATATTAAGTATAGTAAACCGACTGGTGAGTTTAAGCAATTTTTGTCAAAATTATTAGGAACAGTACAACAGGAACTCGTGTGAAATGAGGATCAAATTATGTGACAAATATATCATATCAAGTAACAAGTGGACAAAGTCATGGTAACAAGGAGCAATCAAATGTATGTGACACAAAAGAATAAATCAGTGATGATATTTAAGTGAATATTGCGTGTATAATCCGAATGATGTAGTAGTACAAATAAAAGTGTGCACCAAGACTTACTGTAAGGAACGAAGGACTAATGTGTTAAGAAATTAGCAGTGAATTTCACAGGTGCATAATACCAAACATTATAACTAAATGTATAATGATGTATTAAATTTTATAAGGACAACTGGATCACATCGAAGACCCCAAATGTAGGGATTATGAGGGTTACCAATTTAGAAACCAGTTCCTTGTAATATAAGAACCTAAGATGTTCTTAGAAGGAACTATTCATCGTTTAGACCCCCACCATAGGAATAACTCGTATGTTTGGAGGCCAAAAGACACATCGATTAGGCGACAACTCACTTACATGGGTGTTAACTCGGAATGAGGGTGACGAATCTAGGTAATAAAGACAAAGGAAATTAAAGGTAAAAAAGAAGCACTATTAATCCATAACATGTATTATGCGCATGTATCTGATAATATAAAAAGTAAAACGCTTATTTCTTTTTACCGCCATATCATGAGTTATATGTTTGTAACAGCGTTTGACAGAACTAACAGCGAATGTATGTTAAAAGACTGGAGAAAACCAGTTTCATAGAAGTTACGTTGGAATCACGTGTGAAGTACATGGGACAAGTTACCTATAACTTGACAAATTAGTTATCCCTCGAGGTGAAAGACACTGTAATTTAGGTAAAGTTAATAAATTCTATGATTTATAAGTGGATTCGTGAATATCACGTGGAGCTACTAAATTCCTTTCTATTTGATATCTTAATCATCATTTTTCTGTGTATAAATCTTCTCTTCTTCTGATCATAAAAAAAAAAGTAAATAATAATTACATTTGATATGAAAAAGGGTAATATTCCAAATTTGACTCGTTCGTAGGTTGTTTAAAAGTTACGTTTTCAGTTATAATGTTAATAAGTATGTTTTTACCACTGCAGTGTTATATTATATGTAACAGCATTATGGATATCATACAAGGGATTTGTATCTGTTATTAAGTAACCTAATTAATCCTAATTAAAGGTAAAGATTTTATTAATATATTAATTCAGTAACATGCTTGAGAGACGAAAATGAGACTTGTATAAAGTTGTATTATTGTTTTAAGGGGAGAGGAATGGATGAAGAAGGAAATTAAAATACAAAAAAACTGACTAAAAGTTAGTAATAGGTATATTTTATCAGTAGTCACAATGTTCATATGCAGAATAAAGGAACATAAATTAACCATTACAGCAGTTAAAACCCATGAGAAAATTCACACGTTCCTATGTAAAAGTACTATATGTGGAATAATTATTTATTGGTGAAGTTTAATTCATTCTGACACAGTGAAACTTTTCAAGCTCTCCTGTTGACAGTGTACATTGGAATACCATATCTGTTATACAGGTGTGGTGGTTAGTTCGACACATACAGGGTTGAACATGATGTTGGTATGCATCTATTGAAATAAGTAGTTTTTGTTCATACAGGAGCCAAAAGAACTCTACTTTAGCTTTGTTCTTTCAAATGGAGATAGGCTAAGGTAGGTGTAGGTAAGCTAATATTTGTATTATACAACTACCCACACATAGACCTATATATGTAAATAATTAAGCTAATTCTCAGGGAAAGCCAAATTATTGGTTTACCACAAACCTAGAAATTTTCCAAAAATGAAACAGTGAATAGTAGGAAATGTAGAAGATTTTCAATTGTTTGTTTTGGATATGTCCAAAGTTACATAAGGGCTATTCGTGCTAGGCAACCCTAATTACGGACTGATAAACTAGAGAGAAGGCAGCTATTCAACCCTCATCTACCATTAACACTTTGAATATTCTAATCACTTTTACAATGCTCCTCAAAGTGTGGAGTACAATGCTGAAGTAACAGGCTTTTTTTTTAATGGTGATTGGAAATTTATTGAAATAAACTGAATAATGACAATTAATTCACTGAATAAAAGTTCTTAAATTCAACATAACAACAACAACAACTAAAGCTACAGATAACCAAAGAAATAATCCACCCATTTCCGACATGAAAGAAATTGAACAGTTTTTCCATCTAATATTCTGCCAAGGTTCTTAAAACTCCACAAAAAATGCAAACACATTTTGATAAGACCATTCACATAAAGTAACTAGCTACTAATCCTTCTCTTATGTTTTCACTTCTGTCTACTCGACAGATAGTCTATTACATGATGAATACTGTCTGACAAAGGGCAACTGCCCAAAATGTTCATTTAGACATGCATTAACTTGTTTGAATTGCATAATGGGCTATCTCTGCAGTGCTCAAACTCTGAATTTTAGCACATTATGAGCCTTCAAGCATAGCATTGAACTGGTAGTAATCTTTGGTCCAAAATGTTTAATTTGTTATTGTCTACACCTTTAATAGTTCAGGTATATGATGCATTTAATAAAATGTTCAAAGGACAACTTTGAAGAGGACATTAATGTTACGGCCCACACCACTAATAATTATTTTCTGTTCTCTCTCCATTTCTGAATTATTTGCTCATCAACTGACTTGTGAGACACCTCGTATAATTAGAAAATTATATACGAATTTACTAAAATGTTATCTTCCAGTAACAATTTTAAGAGAATCAAAATAACTTTACACAAACAAAATAACAGTATATTTTTTCTTTACTTATTTAAAATAGATACTGATAACAAAGAATGAAAAGTAGACAACATTAAAAATTTTCTACAGTATTAAGCTTGGGAATTAATAGTATTTGCTAATTTATTAATCAATTAGTACTGTGTTCTTCAAACCATGGTACATATAAGGGGGAAGGCACCAAGTTCTACCAGCCAGTTGCCTTCCCTCTAGTCAGCAGTTCAAACATAAGATCCACCCTCCCAAATCACTAAATTTGAACAAATTAAAAAAGTAACAACTTGTAAGGCTAAAATTGGTTTGAGCACAGATGGCCCATTATAAAGCTTCGTGTTTAACAACAAACATAACAGCAATACTTTTATTACTTGGATAATTGGAATAATCGAAAACAATAACAATCAGAAACACTACTGTTGATTAATTGACTATTTTCGTGAAAATAAATATAATCAGAATTTCAATTAATCGACTGTTAGAATAATTCAAAGTAGTTATAATCAGAAACACTAATATTGGTCGATTTAATCATAATTTCATAGCTGTAATTAATTTGTGACACTAATGGGTGAAATTGCTGCTCTTAGGTAATGAATTACATGGATTAAACTCCACAACTTTATGGTCAATAAAGTAATTTAACTTTATTGTTTGTTCAGTAGTTTTATGACATTTAAGCTACTAGAAAGGCACTGAATGCAAAGATGTGTGTAATTCATCTTTCCTTTCTAACTGTCCAAACAATTTACATTTGTTTTTTAATAATAAATCATCCAGTGCATTTTTGCCAACTAGTGTTTCAGATGCCTTTATTATAAAGAAAACTTGCAACAATATATTTAATTTTAAACACCATACAAATAATAGTTTCATTCGCAACTTTATTGTTTGTTTAATACAATACACAACATTCACATGCCAAGTTTAACGTTTATCATACTTCTTACTGGCTTTGATAAAGCAAAACTATTTACAAGATACATTTGACTTCTTTTAAAGTTCCTATTAAATTGTTGGCTTTCTTAAAACGTTAAATACTTTGGTATGAATAATTTAACAATATATCCCTCCCTCTAGTAAATGAAAAACAAAGATAAAAATGTGTCATCTTTTCCACAATGGAATGTCAGTAACAGATCAAAAAGTTTTTGGACAAACACACAAAAGTTACATATCTGAGTGTATTATTCATTTATGAAGCTTTAAATAGTAGTAATAGTACAGTATGATTTTAGTACTACAAAACAATTATCATGTTGTGTGTGTGTGTGTGTGTGTGTATATGCATATTAAATCAAACAAACAAACAAACAAAAAAAACATCTCTGTAATTTCTTAGAAAATATGTATTACTTAAGATTTACAGTTTTGTTCTGTTAGTTATATGTTTTGCATTGCTATGTAGAGCGAAATGTATCAGTTTAACACCTAAAATATAACGGATAGACACCCAAAACAAAATACACACCATTGCAAGAAATAGATTCAAGTAACAAACAAAACTAAACAGTAGGAAGCAACTGTGGCAATCATATTTAATAAGTCAAAATTTTTCATGCAGATTTTTTATTTTTTAAGAAATCTACCCTGATTTCATTCTTAATCAAGAGAAAAAAAAATGATGGTGTTGTATGCACAAATGATAAAGATAGCAGACCTAAAATGAAGAATATTGCCAATTAACAGAGCTACTACCAATACTACTACTATGTATATTTACATTCTGGAAAAATAAACTACACATATTTAAGTAATATATGAACAAACAAACAAAAATATTTTAAATTGAATTTGGTAATTACTTTTTTTTTAAGATATAAAACTTATTTCATTCACACACTCTCGTATTTCAGAAATAGAAATTCCCAAGTTTTTTGTGAAAAGCATATCTATATTACTGGAATTTAGTATATGGCATTCTTAAAAACTACTCTTTCGTTGGTTCATCTGCTGGGTTAAAAGTATCTATGTAAACATTTTCTCTTTTGTGCATTCTTCTGACATGAGATCGTAGATTGTCCCTACGAGCTGACCGGTAAGTACAGTGTGGGCACAAGTGAGGTTTCTCACCAGTGTGCATTCTACGATGTTGGATAATCTTTTTTAACTGGATGCTAGCAAAATTACAGATGTCGCACAGGAAATGCTTATCATTCCGGTGTTTCTTCATGTGCTTCTCCAAGTCTGCATCTGTGGGGCGATCCTTACCACAAATTTTGCAGCTAACCTTGATAGTGAAGTACTTGTTTCCAGAATTGTGAACTTTTTGATGTTTTCTGAGAGCTTTATATACAGTGCAAGTATAAGGACACAGAGAGCATTTATATTCCTCAGCATTGTGTTTATAACGTAATGGAGGTGTCTCGGGCTTATGTCGTCTCTTACCACAAGGATGGTAGCCTTCTTGTAAAACATGTTTCTGTATATGTTTATCCAATTTATCTCGTCGCTGAGAGGTATAAGAGCAAGACGGACAACTATATATTTGGTTGCTTGGTGAGCTGTCAACATCCACGTTTTTGGATTTCTTTGACTTTGACATTTTTCGTTTGGAATGATAGCCTTTAATGTGCTTTTTCAGAGCTGCTCGGCTTTTCATCATGGCACCACATTCACCACAGTCATAGCCTACAGTTGGAGTTTCTTCCATCTTTATGTTCTCTGTATCAATAATCAGCCTAGAGTCATCAAAGGCCGATCCATCCAAACTGACTCCAAACCCATCTGACATCATGTAACGGTTACTTCCAAGCTGATCTTCGATTATAATTTCATTACCAACCGAAGAACCCACCACTACCTCACCACCCTCAATAATATCTTCTTGTTTTATCATGCTATTTGGTACCAAGATTATCTCGCCGTGAGAATTATCCCCGTCTCCACCAATTTCAACACTTTGTTCGACAATCATTTCATTCCCAACTATTTCTTCTAGAACAACTTGTTCAACATGCTTTGCATCCAGCACCACTTCTCCCATGCTATGAGGCTTCATTGCAATGTAGCCTGGTTGGTCTGGATCTGTTCCATCTACAATAAGTGAATAGTCTTCAATCATTCTTCCAACTATCAGTTCATTTTCACTGTTTCCCTGAAAGAAAAAACAACAACAAAATTCATAGAAATAACATCATTTTGAGCAACTCCTATCTTTCACATTAGTTAAATCTATAACTTACAATCAAATCGATTTCAATAAATCTTTAGGGTCTAAACTTCACTTTTGCTTCCTAAAAATATTTTGGAAACCAAAAAGAAAATAAAAGTTTCAACCACCCTAAAAATACTCCTGATTTTTCTAGCTAACTGTGATCTTTATCTTAAGTATGAATTTAACTTATTTAATAATACGTTTATGAAAAATGTTTACTGAGCAGTTTCTGTGATGTTTAACTAGTTTCATTGGATGTAAGCTATAATGAAGTCACCTATATAACACTAATGTTTCAGCCAGATACTAAATATCTAACAGATTCCTTTGGCCAAGTAACTGAATATTTATCTGCTAAACAGTTGGTATTTTTTATTGAAAGTTTCATAACTTTCATAGGACAAATAAAACTGAGACATATAAGACATACAAATTACATAGGATGCAATAAGAGTACTTCAACAGAGGATTATATAATAAATGCAAGTTAATACTCATATAATAGTTGAGCCTATTTAGTCTATGTCTGCCAATATTTCTTTACTGAGACCAAGAACAGTGATATTGTTTGGACATGTCCAATGCTTATTTAAATCTCAAACTGTAGTATACCATGCAATATATGCAAGTTGTAATATGTCAGCAGGTGTACAAGCAAGAGTTAGTATACAAGTCATGCACTGATATGCAGTGCATAAACTAATCTCCAAGACTTTGGTAGTTGATGACTGCTAATCACTAACATGAAGTGATTCTGAGATAAAGTGTAAGTTATATAAAAGATTAATTTTTACATGGTAGCAAATGGAAACCAGTTTCTACCCCAATACACCATAAGTTAAAAATAAACACACTCAATTACACAAATCTGAAACAAACTTTGTAAGTCTACTGTACTGGATCTAAGAGTACAACATCAAAGTTTCAAGCAGTCACTACAGAATTCAAATGTTACAAAAGAAAAAACTTGCAACATTAATGTGCTAAAACCTTGCTGTATGTAATTGCTGAAATTACTGTTAGTTAACCAAACATATTCAGTTGTTACTGATGAAAGGTTTGTTCACTTGATGAAGAAAGCACAACCTCAATATGAATTAACAAGTAAAACATATTTTTCTGAAAAAAATTGTCCCAGATATAACAAAAACATGTAAGATCTACTGGTCAGATTCTAAATGTCAGCACCGTTTCTCTAAAAGCAGATGTCTTGTCAAAGTCTGCAACAAATGACAATTTCATTAATTTCACAATATACTGGCTGAAAAACATGTGGATTTTCAACATGCTACTCTTAATGTTAAGTGTTTTCCAAGAAGTCATACAACAAGGAAAAATTTTGGAAATTCTAATGAATATATGAAAAATCAAAGGAAAAAATATATTCATCTGCTAATCAGATCTGGGTGATTAGTTAATTTAATAATTGGTTAATCACTGGGTTCATTAATCAATTACTCTTACAAGATGACTAAAGCAAAATAAAATTAGTTATCCTCACAATTTGACTAAAACAACTTAACACAAATATCAGGTTTAAGTTCCTGCAGCGGTCAGAACACAGATAGCTCGCTGTATGGCCTTGCACTTGACTACAAAAAAATATAATGGCAATCTTTTAATAACATGAATAGTTGTAATACTGAAAATAGTAATAATTAGAAACCCTAATCTTAATTACTCTATTTTTGTAAGTGATACTAATCTATGAAACTGAATACACTTGAATTAAAATGAAAATAATACTGAAAAATCATAATGGCAATATTTTTCAAAACATTGACCAATTTAATCATAATTTTTATTGCTTGATAACTGGAAACAGTAAATGAAAATTTCCAGGACATTAATTGTTTTACTTGTAATTTTGATTACTGGATAACTGGAAAAAATGGTAGGAATTGAACACATTAGCTGATTATTTTCATGATATTAACTGATTTAGCCATAACTTCAAATAATCAAGTATCTTATGTGACACTAATTGATGTAATCAATGCTTAGAGCTAATTGAATATATTGATTAATGAAGTTAATTGCCAAGCTCCACTGCTATTAAGAGATAATGCAGCAAATACCGTGAAAGGTTCTGATGATGTTGGAATGTCAAGAAAATCATATTTCCTCTACACTTCACAGTTTATGATCACGAATACTAGTATCTTAGTATACTATAGTTGATCTCAGAAACACAGTTAAACAGTATTTACTTGTCTATTCTTTTCACATGCTTCACATAGGATAATGGGAAAAAAAACAACTTTAGGTCTTTCAAAGATCATATTGTCATTTTCAAGGATCAAATTTATAGAATTTTAACAAAACTTGAACTCTATCAAAATTAACTAACTAATGTTTTATTACATTTTTTGAAACTGCAGTAACTGCTGTACAAGATATTCTAGCAATCTAACCAGGCATAAGCTGATAGGTTATCTTTAATGCCAATTATTTGAATATTTAAAGCATGAATGTTAAGTTTATGATAATAACATTATCATATTGTTAACTTTTACATTTTTATTCTGCTCTCTCTCTCTTTTTGTTAACAAATTAACTCATGAAAAATTAGTCTAGAAATGTTGATAATTATTTTTGAAGTATTTATGATGAAGATAAAGTTAGGATAATTCAGAAATTTCAATGTTCTTTATCCTATTAACAATTTTATGGGTTTAGAGTTTTATGCTACAGTATCATTCCAACAATAGTCTTGTGACACCTGTTCACTTGCAGATGGAGAAACTGTGTAATATCATTCAATGTTGACAAGTGAGCATATTTCCCATTTTACAAGTCACACTTTGTGTTTGTTTTTTTGTAAAACTTCGAACATTGCAACAAAGCTATTTAAGTAATTATGTTAGAATTTCAAGGACTCTTCCAGGACCTCCTGTTCGAAACCATTGATCTTTAGGATTTACAATAGTCACTACTGAAAATCTGGTTTAGGAAATTCCATGACTTTCTAGGATTTTAATGAGCTGTGCAAACCCAATTTAAAAATATACTTTTTGCTAGTTTAAATATATAATTTGTTAATTACTTGAAATACATTAACTGATACTCTTACAGAAGGATACATGAAGCGTAATTTGGTTAAACAAAAAACACAGTAAAGTTATTTAGCAGAAAACAAAATAAAACAGCAAAATATATTTGTTTAAAAGATATAGGAACTTTTTTCTATGACAAAACATAAGACTTATGAGGTTTCGAGTTCAGTAACAACACAAAATATTCCAGTTAATCAAATCCACATTTATTGAATATTAAGTTTACTGTATTTAAACAACATATACAAATAAAGGAACTTATATTTTATTGTAAAACAAATATACTTACTACACAAACTGATTTTGGACAAACATATTGTTAGATAAAATCATAAATAATATTCAACGTTAAACCGGTACACAGTTAAAAACATTTTATTTAGGTTATCTATGGCCTTCAAAAAGTTGACGACTCTACATGTTTCAACGTTACATCCTGAGGATGACGTTGTACCAGTTTA